AAGATGGATAAATAGGATATTACACTGTCTGTTTACTCTAAGTAGATACTGGACCGTAACATTCATTCAAACTTTTCTAATGACTAATATCTCGTGACATGGTTAATAAATTTAACACTCAAATCTCTACACAGTTATAGTCATCAGAATTGTTTTTCTGTATTATTTCTGTTGAATCCTGCAAAAATATGTACCTTGAACCTGTATAGTTTAATGAGGTACAGATTATAGGATCTGTTGCCGTAAACTGAAATTTAAACTATGAACAAGATGGCATATTTTTGTCAGACAAATGTTTTGAATATTTTTCTTTACATTTTGTATATACCTATCAGCAGCTGATATAACAACAGCTCTGTGTAGAATAAGTTCATTATATCTTAACTGTTGGCCTTGCCTTCTTTAACCAGCTGCTGCTAAATAAAAAATTACTTGTTCACATCATTTACAAAACAAATTAAGAATTAAACTTCTGCCTTTATTATTTTTTAGGTCCCATAAAATACAGATGAATCTCCATTTTTAATAATTCTCATTCTTATATTAATTTTGTTAGATTTTATGTAGTTTTTGAATTAATTGTAGAAAATTGAGATAGATTAATTTGGTCCATCATGATCATCACAGTTATATTTTATATTTTAGTTTGTGAACTGTAGAAGAAGACTTGTTTACTGAGAGTGTTGCTACATCTAGTCATGGGCTATCAAGACACATGGTAGTGTGTCTTGCAGCCAACACAACCTGCAGGACACACACTGTGTTATTAACAGGAGTGATAGTTTAGCAATTTTCCACTTTCTGTAACTCATGCTGTAGTAATCCAAACTATCACATATTTTCAGTAGATGTGCACTACTGGACCCTTACTTCACATACCAAATTTCAAGGCAATCCATTAAGAAATACATGAGATATAAAATATTCTATTTTGATTGAAGTTCTTCCTTTTTTTTTTTGCACCAAAAGTACAGAAATTTTATTTGATAGAAAAATGTACTTAGCTATTATAGTTTTTATTTCAAATTTGGTACACTTATAGGTCATGATAACGTACAATTAGGTGTCAAGTTTGGTCTAAATATAAGCCACATGTGCAAAGTTATTCAACAAAAATAGCTCTGTCTTGACCAAAAGTTTTGCACTCACCTACACAAACAATCACAAGAGCTGTTGGTCTAAGCTTTTTACTACAGCTTCACCTAAGAGTAAAAGTGGATCATTTTTTATTTTTTGGATTTCAGGTTAAAGATTGTTGATTGAGAGCAGCAGATCTATAGGTTGAAAGCAAGTGCAAATAATTAAGTATTGGTTAAGCCAGCAAACTAGATTAGCAGTTCTTTGCTCAAGTTTTCAAAAGAATCATATGGGTGGACGTTTATTATTCATTGCCAGCTTTTAAGCACAAATTTGCTAAATTTTATGAAGTTCTCATTATATTAAAGAGCATTTAGTGTCACGTGATATTAGCTTAAGCAATCACAGTAAATAATGATGCTTGATACAGCTGTACCACAAGTAAAGTACATGACAAGAAAATGTTAACCTAGTTTTCGTGGCATTACTCTAAAGGAAGTTATTAACACTGTTTTAGAGAGGAAAAACTATCACAATCTGGTTGGTTATGTAAAGTATACGTCTGTTCCAAATAATAGGGTTGCAATCCTAAAGCTAATATTGGTTACTATCTGGTGTCACTTTCTTATTTGCTGTGGTTTTTTGGTGTGTATTGACAAAAATTCATGATATGTAATCAAAAACACCTTGGGTGTGAAAAAGAAAAGGTGGCCAAAATAAGACTGAGCATGTGATTTAAAGGAATGAAATCAAAATTGGCAGCTAAGGTATTTTTTTATTAGATTCAATGTTACTTGACACCCCCTCCATGATTTAACTAATTGCAAGGCTATTTTTGAGGACACACAAGATCAGTTTACGAAAAAGCATAAAATCATTTAGTTTCACTAAGGATTTCAACAATTTCTAGTTCAAATTTCATTTTGTATAATTACTTGTTATTTTGTTGTGGTTTTAAATTTTAGGTATGATATGATGGATTTTCATTAAGGTTTTACACTTTTTAACTTTTATTGATTTATAATTGAAACAGTCATTATACATGTTTTATCATGTCAAATTAATGAGCTTATCTTACATAACAAAACATAAGTTAGTAACATGTAACTTTTGTAGATTGTCACAACAGAAACAGTTCTACAAGGAAGACAGTAATAAGTTTTGGGGTGTATGTTTGTGCTATTGTGGATTATTTGACAAAGTCTTTGAAATGAAAAATGGAGAACAGGTGCATATATTGCTTTGAAAATTTCACATATGAAGAAATACACCACAATAAATCCCTGATCATTGTAAGTTTGACAATAAGTTGGCTTCTCACAGTGTGTTGTAAGAAAGCACAATCATGTCAAACATTGTTGTCTCACCACTTAAGAATCTGCATTTCAGTAAATCATTAAAAAATTTATTCCATTCTTCACCACCTATTTTTACAACATTGTGTTTATTGAAATTCTCAAAAACAATAATGAAAATGATTGTTTATGTCTGAACACTTAAGGTACACCCAGTGTGTGTTTTTGCATATACATAACCTATAAGCATTGCGAGTCTACTAGTTTTCATTGGATTTCTCATTCTTTTTATGTTAAGCCATACTTTAGCATGTACTGTTTTACTTTGTGCAACATCAACTTTCACTTCAGACTGAACAACATGGTGAAGTACTGTAGTGTTGAGACAATAAACAGAATAATCTGATTCCACCAGCATATCTTCTACACAATACTCTTTAGGTATGAGCTGAGATCCACTGCTTAAAGGAGAAAACCAACAATAGTCACATATTCTTTTGTAACAGTAGAATGCACAGGGTGGTTGGTTATACTGCATCTACAACAACATCTAGTATTAAGGACATTTCTCCTTCAGTGACAACTTTGATTAATGTGGTTCATTTTAGCAGTTTCAGTATCCAATTAGTCAGCATCAAGTCTCCTTCTATGCACAAAATGATGATTCACATGTTTCAGAGAGATTTTTTAATGCAAAATAATATGCCCATATTAACAAGTAAGTAATTAAAATATATGTAATTATCATTTTTAAAAATGAAATGCATATATTTGAAATTAAATATACAAATAAGAGTAACCTTGTCTTGTTTTAAATAACAGCTTAAGTTTATCTCAGGAACTCTATCAGTAAATACCCGTATGAATTTACTGTTGGTTATGCACTATTACCTGTAGTATAAAAGTCAGAGAAAACATAGTTAAATATATATTTCATGGCAGTGATATTTTATTCAAGTTAGAAATCATTGGCTATGAACAGTGAAATGAGTTAATAGTTTGTAGTAGAATTTTTTCATTAAACCGTGAAAAATAATATATCACATTTTCTGTTGTATTTATTTCAGTAGAAAGTTATGTATATGTGGGACATTTATTGCATTCACAGTATTTGTATATTTTGGCAAACAACAAACACAATTCTTTACATTTTGAATACTTAACTATATTTCAACAGGATAAATATGCTTTGGACATGTATATTGTGGTCATTAACATATGGATACAAATGTTTGAAATTAGTTTTATCTGTGAAAAACACTGTAAAGTAAATTTTCCATTCATATATTTTTTCCACAAGGGGTAAATTTCATGTCTGTCTTTAAAAAAAAAAGTGCTGAGATAGTATTGTTAGAATAACTTCTCCCTTTGACAAGGCTTGAAAACTTGTGCATGCAGAAGAGATGGGATTAAGTAACAATTGTAGTCTCTTAAGATACAGGACAACTAAGCCATCTGAAAGTTTCTATTATTTCATCTGTATGGTGTTGTTTTGGTTATCTTTCACTTGCTTGTACCGAGTAAGGGACAACCCAAACTTCATACACATTTCTAATTTTTATGACCACTCTGATTCGGATCATCTTCTATTCCTGTTTTGGGCTCTATGATGTTATGTTGCATGCACTGAAGAGTTTTAGGGTTCACATCATCATTTGTTTATCCATTGGGATCTAATGGTGTCACGTGACTTATCCCTTATCACTTTGACAGGTTGGGTTCATCAGTTGGTTTGTATTGCTTACTCTGGGCTTCGTTGGAGAAGCAAAGACTTCTTTAGGTCTCATCTCATCAAGTTTGCCATATCTCGATGTCACTGGCAGCTTGGTTGCATCACCCACTGGAGAAGATTGTACAGGGTGGTATTTGGACCACGTCTAATACATTTATATCTCATTATTTACAAGATTTGGTGGTTGCCTTCGCCATGGCTATTCTCCATGCCCTGACTAAATTATGAGAGAGGTGAGAAGAGCATAACTGTTCCAGAAATAGTGCGGACCCCTCTAGTGTACTATTACTATATCTCATTTTTGCACATCCTCTTTTCTATGCAGATGCTTTCTGTGTGGACTTTGCCCTCACCAGCATCTCCACCTTGTCTGTGTGGGATTCTACCTACAGTGTGAGAAGAGGTGTGTGTTTCAAAAGTTAACATTTTCCTATACCAAAAATGTATTCCTGATAATACTTACATCCTCTCACACTCTCCCACCCTTCCTCCCCATGATGGCCAATGTTCGAGTCTGTTAATTTGGACAGTCTTAAAAAAAAGGAAACAAGAAGTAATAATGGGGAGCTTACTTACAAATCTGAGATAGAGAGTGCATTGACGAAGGTGGAGAGAATCACAAGATTAAACATGCTATGGACAATATTGTAGGCTGTAAGGCTGGAGCAAGCAACGTAAGATTCATACTACTGCTTAGATGGGCAGATAAGAGTAACTTTTGTCGAGATAAAGGTGTAGTGTAAGGAGAGGTAAGTATTATTGGAATTACATTTTTGGTATAGGAAAATGTTAACTTTTGCAAAGAACATAAATTAACTAAACTTATTCTTTCATTCTTATGATTTTAGAACTTAATGCATATGTGTGAGCTGGAATATTATTACACTTATTCACAGTTATCAAAAGCAGTCTGGGACCATTTTGTAAATAGTAGACAGACAGATGATATGTACAGAAGAAAGATGGATCTTAGGCATGCTATTATGAGTATTCTGCAAAATAAATTTCCATGTAAGTACAAACTTATACATTTCTCCTTACTGTACCTATTTATTATATATTTGTAAAGCAATTATGTTCAGCTTTTTTGTAAAGTATATATAGTATTTGTATAACATTGATTTATCATGAGAATACCTTACTGTTTTTGTGTTACAGTATTACATTAGTAGACACTAACTAACCTTTTGTGTTTTATCAACAAACTTTTGGATACGCTTTCTAATTATTTGTTCAGCACTTAAGTTTGAAATATAATTTTCTTTTTCATAACCTACAAGTAAATTGATGATTCTAAACTTCTGAAAATGAAGCTGTTCTTGTAATCCTTATTACCTCCACCACCAAATGTGATGGAAGTTATTTTTTCATCCTGTGTGTGTGTGTGTGTGTTTCTCAGCAAAATTTCTCAAAACTAATTGAATGGATTTGGATGAAATTTGGTATGCATTTTGACTATGATCCAGCTTAGAAGTGATTAGTTTTTGGAGGGTTAAGGTCACAGCATGGTCAAAAAATCCAAAACTATCTACATATTAATAAGGAGACAGATTTTTCACACCATTTTTGCTCTATAACTCAGTCAAAAATCTTGGTGGACATAAGTAGAATATTATTCCTAATTGTCCTGCCAAAAATGGTCCATGTTTGTTTCATATGTTTTGAGGGCCGAGTATTTGGCACAGTCAAAGAAGGGAAAATGAAACAGTAGAGGAGAGGGAAGCTCGGCAGGATGAAGATAGAGGGAAATGGGTGCACTGATTTCGATGAAACTTTTTTTCTTTGTTCTATACATGCGTGAGAAGGTTATAAGCAACTTGGATTTTTGGAATTCACCTTAGGGCTCCACCCCACGGGTCTTCAAAGTTCCAATGTTATTCTTATGGACATTTTTTTTTAATTTTAAAGTAACAGTAAATACAATGTAAAATTTTCAAAACAATGTCTATTATCTCTATGTTGGAAAGAAAACAACTCCTGCAAAAATTTGTTGCGTCACTCCAGCTGTCTGTGCTTTATTTTGTTTATGTTTTGGCATTATTTATTGCCTTTAAGGTTATATTTCTTTTGCTTTTAAGGTTATATTTCTTTAGAAGAAGTATTTCTTTGCTAAGGGTCGCTCGCCCGTCCACTCGGCATTGCTCTTTTGCGCTTGACTTGCGAACTGTGTTCTTTCTTATATTTTTTTCTTTTTTCTCTATCCTTGGAGTTTAAAACTATATGTAGCCTGCTCAAGAGTCAGATCTTCTCGCAGCCTATTTATCCATGCCCCAGGTGGACGTACTTCCAATGTCGTCTATCAAGAGACTCTCGGTAAATAAAACTAATTTTTTCACAGATGTGTGATACACTACAAACACACAAGTATAACTCATCACAATTTGACATTTTCCGTTTTTTTCTAATTGACGCAGTTAACACGTGGTCCACAGTATCTTTTGTTAACTTATATTTAATTGTTATAATAATTTACAATAAAAAATGTAAAATGTAATGTAAATAATGTACAAGTAATTTGTTTGTTAATTGTTAAATTGATGTATTATTTATACACAAAACCCATATGAAGGACGGGTACACAGCTAGTTTAAAATAAAAACATAAATATTAGAGAGCATTCAGTAGAGCGCATACCTCTGCCATGCAGCATTGATCAAGGAAGAAGATAGAGGGGAAAATGAAACAGTAGAGGAGAGGGAAGCTCGGCAATCACGTCCAAAACCGCACCAAAGCAGGTTTTTGAGCGGCCGTCATTTTCTTTCCAAAAGGCGTATGACAGTTTAAAGTAGCCTTTAACCTTCTTATACATCTATAAAACAAAGAAAAAGTTTACAT